GCTTCAGCAGCGCCTCGCTCAACGGCCCACTAACCACATTCCCGACCCCCCGCCCCGTCTCCAGGAACGCAAACACCATACTCACATGCGCCGACCGCTCACTCTTCTGCACCTCGTGCGACAGCGCCGACCACGAGGACGAGTACCCCCCCGCGAAGAAGCCATACACAATGCAGAAGATGTACAGGGTGGCCAGGCGGGTGGCGAGCCCCCACAGCAGGAAGACGGAGAGGACGGCGCCGGCCGAGGAGAGGAGGATGCATTTCGTGACGTGGTGGCGGTCGGCCATGTAGCCGGTGAAGATGCAGCCGAAGACGGTCATGAGGTTGAAGAGGGTGACGGTGAGGGAGGCGAGGAAGTCGCTGGCGCCGAGGGTGCGCGCGTACGAGGTCAGGAAGATGGAGGGGATCCAGAAGCCGAGGGCTTGCATTGTGTTGCCGAGTTGGTAGACGAGGTAGACCTTGTCCCAGAGGAAGCGGAGGCTGAGCTGGCGGAGGTGCGAGTGCCGGAGTGGCACGCGCGGCTTGTGGAAGGTCATGAAGGGAGCGGCGAGGAAAAAGAGGCCGATGGAGCAGGCGCGGAGCGTGGTTTGCCAGCCGTAGCGGTTGAGGAGGGTTTGGAGGATGAGGGGGAAGAGGATGCCGGTGAGGCCCGAGCCGCTCTGTGTCTGGTTAGTGGTGGATTTCAGGAGTTGGGACGGAATCATACCCAGACGATGCCGAAGGCGAGACCTTTTTTCTCGACGAACCAGTCGGACAAGAAGAGGATGGACGGGGTGTAGGCGAGACAGCCCCCGATCCCGTATGCCACCCCTTGCGACATGATCAAGTGGGTGACGTTGGTCGAGAACGAACTCAGTCCCAGCGCCAGACACATCAGGACGAATCCCGCAGTCGAAAACCAGCGCCGAGCTCGAGGGAATGCAAACATGATGGCGATGACAATGGGTGTGGGGAGGTAAGCCAAGCCCTACGAAGTTCATATCAGCGTAGGCCATGTATAGGCAGGGGCATATAGCTGACCATTGCGCAGGTTCCAATCGACGCAATCTCAGTCGATCCCGAGAAAGGCTCATGAGTTCGATAATAGTTCTCAAAGACCCCAAACGATTGAGCGAATCCTCTCATCCGTCAACTACTGCCTGCTTCTCCGGACGATGGGAACGACGACTCACCCCATACTATACCTTCCACCATAAAACAAGCCGCCAGAAACAGCCATGCTTGATATCCCCCGTCAACGGGCGGTAGCCGCGAGTCGTCAAGCTCGTCAATGTCGTCCGAGAACTCGTCAGACGAGGTCGGTGTATGCGAGAAGGTCTCTTTGAAGAGCGCTGGGGGTAACGATTCGAGCTCTTTGGTAGCCATCATGGTGCATGGAAACGGGCAAGTAAGCAAGCAACCCCAACCTTAAAATAACAAGGCGTCTCAAACGAAGAGGCAGGATGATGAAATATTCTGCACTGGGATCCGCAAGGGCCCGTATAACATCAGGTGAGGCGTGGCCATGACCGCGGAAGCCAGGGCGAGCACAAGTGAGTAGTCGGTAGAGAGAAAATAGAACCTGGGATCATCCCTTCTGGCGTTGTCACTCGTGGAGAAGCCTTATGATAGTGCTGGTATGTAGGATGCCCCGAGGGAACGAAACAAGTACAGATCGTGTCGATCCGGTCAAGCACCGTGCCATTGGTATGTATACCTAGCCCGTTTGGGATGATGCGGAGAATCCCCTCTTCTTGGTCTTGAGCAGTGTGCTCAGTGATCAAATGTCACTGCCAAACCATTCTCCTCGCCTGCGAGCGTTTGGCTACAGAGCTGAGTGGAAGCTAGGCCGGCCTTGACTGTTGCTCAGGGTCATGCCCTGATTTGGGGCCATTTGCCATTCTACCGCGACAGATTCCGGCTTTTCAATCCTAGGCATGTAGACAAGTATACAAGGCGAGAAATGATAGACAACCTGATACGCGCCCATGACGTTTGATCAGAGCAGTGTACGTTTAGGTCAATCAATTGACATGAAACAGTCGAACGATTAAAGTTGCCTATGATTCAGCTTACAGTATGCTTCCTTGTCTCACTCCAAAGCCAAGCAGTCATTGTCTGCCAAAAAGAAATCATCTTTCGTCATTTCGTCGATCAGCATGCTCTGTGTCAGAGCAGACCAACAGCCTGCAGGAAGATTTCAAACCGGTGCAGAAGGCTTGGAGCTCCGAAAATAACTCGCCTCTCGGAGTATTTGCCAGCTAGACATTCTTCAACGGTATAAGCTCTGAAAATTATGTGGGGACATCGGAAGCTCTTGATCCTGTTGCCCGAACAAGGAGTGGTCGTCGACCTGTTGGACACTGGACAGCTGGGCAAGAACGCGCGTGCTCCTTCATGATTCATTAGCTAATAGTTTCCTTTCTCAATGGGCTTCATATTCATAGGTTACTCTGGGCAATGTCCCTTTGATGCAAAGATCGAAAGTGTGGTTGCATATATCTAAAGCGTTTCATATCAGCTTGAGCTCAAGCGAAGAGAACCTATGGATTACAACTACCAGAATCAGGTATCACTGACCTCATTCCTATTTTCGACAAAAGTAAAAGACTTATCATCTCTTCCGAGCATGTTCAGTCAGTGACATTCCAACCGAGCGAGGGATGAGCGCCTGGAATGCTTGTACCCACTCCTACCTGGTTATAAGCCCTCCGTCCGACATCCCGATGACATTAATGCACTTTTCCGGTTGATTTCCCAGGCCTCAATCTTCTCAGGATAGAGTTCAGCAGGGATGCTGGGTGCTTTGGATGAATCACTGCCCTCAGAGGGCTCTTAATGTGGTTGCAAGTGATAAACATGCTAGCGTGCACAGTTGATAGAATATTGATCCCATGGACAGCCTTATGCGGTGTAGTGAGTCGATGTAGAGCATTTCCATGAGCTTCACAATTATGCCATTCAGCTCCTCGTATAGCCATATGCAGTTACCATGGGTGTATCAATCCGTTTAAGCATTATCTGTAGATGAGCTATAACCTCTCATGGGTGTCTAGCATCACATTCGGTATTGCCAATACGAGATTCCTTACTATAGAGCTGAGAGATAACACTCGATGGGGAACAAAATGGTTTGCGCCACGTTCTCTGCAGACAATTAGACAACTAGACAATTATCCCAGTCAATCCGGTCATGTCGATACATTAGAGTATGTTGGACAAGCCGGCGCTACGTCGGGTCATCATCCACAACCAGCGCTTAGCCAGCGTTGACCATCACCAACCAAAAACACAGCTTGGACAAACTCCAGACTGCGCCACCGTGCTGTGCTGTTTCATTCACTAGCTTTGCTGGCTTCTGTCAGCCTTGCTACGCCGCAGTGTAGTCTGAGCAAACATATAAATTCTCCAGCACAGCATCATCTGCTTCTTCTTGACTACATCACATCTCCCCCTTAACCCACCAAGATATCCCCAACCAGATCCACTACAATGGACATTATCCACTCAATCCTCTCCTGCCTCACAGGCTCCTCCAACGACAAGCCAAAAGTAAAACCCACCCGCACCCGCTCAGAGAACGACCTCGCCTCCGAATTCCTCACCACCCTCCTCACCGCGCATACCACCGACCCCTCTCTAAAGAAAAACCTCGACGAAACCATCCACCCATACAACTGGACCTCCAGCTTAGCCCAGGCTATCCTGCACGGCCTCGAGAACGCCATCCGGTCCGGCAAAACGATGGGCAAAGCAGCCGCCGACGCACTCGTGAAGGCTACGCACGAGGCGTACGAGTTCGCCAAGGAGCATCCCATCTACACGACTATCCTGGCGCTGGGGGTGCTGGCTGTCCTGGCGCCGTGGGTGCTCGAGATACTGGGGTTTGGGGAGCTGGGGCCCATAGAGGGGAGTTTTGCGGCGTACTGGCAGAGCCTGTATGGGGATATGCCCAAGGTGGCGGTTTTTGGGTATTTGCAGAGGATGGGGATGGTCTGGGGGCATTGACTTTTCGTCTTTTTCGAAATAATTTGTCTAGGGTCTTCTTTGGGAGATTGGAGGGGATTTGCGAACTGGAGCAATACCATAACGCCAAATTCAAACATATGCTGATTTATCTTCTGACAGTATGTACTAGAAATCCGCCGGCTCAGGTAACTCCTCCGGCGTGTCCTCCCGATACGTATCCGTAATCAGGTCGGCAAAACTGGCAGACCAGGCCACACGCGGAGACAAGTACTCCAATCCCCACAGATCGGCCACATACTTCAGGATGGAGGTATGCGTGAACTCCCCCGTCTGGTTCGTCGGCTTGTTCTGCACAACGCCCTTGCCCACCCACGGCGACATAAGCACCGTAGGGACCCGGATCCCCAACCTGTCAAACGCAAACGTGGAGATCTTGCCGTCCGGCGCTGTCTCGGTGTAGGTCAGAGCATCGCCTGCAGGCACATTCTCCGGGGGAGGAACGTGGTCAGCGAACCCGCCGTGCTCGTCAAAGGTGAGGATGAAGAGGGTCTCGTGCCACTGCGGAGACGAGCGCAGCGCCTCGTAGACACTCTTGATCCAGCCCTCGCCCATGTTGATGGGTGACGGAGGATGGAAGGACATGTACGAGCAGCATTCGGGGTTGATCCAGGTAAACTGGGGCAGGGTGCCTGCTTTTGCGTCCCGGTAGAACTGGTCGATGGGGCGCACGTTGGTCTCGCTGAGCCCCGACAGGGCGGTCCAGCGGTAAAAGAGCGCGTCGGGGAGGAAGCCGGTCGTGTTGGAGTAGTTGATCCAGCTGATGTTGTTGGCGGAGAGCTGCTCGAAGATGGAGAGCTGGGGCAAGGCCGAGGTGTCGAAGTCGGGATCGTTGGTGCCGTGGCCGTGGGACGTGCCGGAGGTCAGATAGGCGCGATTGGGGTTGGTTGGGCCGGGCACGGCGGCGAACCAGCGGTCGAAGAGCACAAAGTTCTCTGCCATGGCGTTGAAGACGGGAACGTGCTCGGGGGTGTAGTAGTTGATGACCTCGCCCGCTCGAGAGAGGTCGCCTTCGATGCCGTAGGAGGCGATCTGCTCGGCAACGAAGCCTTGCATGCTGGGGGAATGCACATCGTAATCTGGATGGTAGGTGCTGTACACCTGCTGGTTTCCACCGGTGATACTGTGGTCAGGGTCATCCGGCGCGACATTCTTCGCCGTGGGCTTTGCGCACACCATTGGCGAGTGGGGATCGGAGACATTGGCCGGGTTGCAGTACTCGCGGTGGACGAGACCGTCAATGCTGGGATTGTATGTGAGTCCGCCGGCATAGTTGTCGAACGACAGGTTCTCCTGCACCAGAACCACGACGTTCTTGATAGGACTGAAGATTCTGCCATGGGGCGCATGAGGAGCAGCCCCTGCGCCAAAACCCAGCGTGAAGAAAACAGCCAGCGACAAGACACTCATAGTAAACAGTACCAGCGAGATGGCGACGAGAGCCCACCAGGAACGGGGTCGTCTGCGCGACCCCCAGATATTTATCTCCTCGGGTGGATCATGCGGTAGCAGGTGCTCCGTCTCGTCAGAGGGGTGTTTATCTGGTCGGAATCCTGCATGTGCATCTTCATCTGTTTGGGGTTGCATTTTGGCGGTGGTTTCTATGCAGAAGATGCAACCCTTCTCTGGATGTTGATGATAGTCCTGAGGATAGGATCACTCCCCTTCCCTGGCAGATCATTCTCATGTCCGACGTGGGGTTTCTCTTGGCTGATGATCTGATCTGATCATCCGGCATCCACTCGCCCGTCAACATGTGAGGGATACGTTTTCTCATTGGGCAGAGCACGCTCTAGTCCTGAGAACTAAGAACCCGCGTGTGCTATGATTCTATTGGTCTTGTGGTGTTGATTTGCGGATCGGAGCGGATATCCTCATTTCCCTGGATGTAAGGCATCTATCTCTATTGTACAGTTCTACACAATCTAGGATGTAAATTATAACTGTCACGGGCACTAAACGCTATCACACCACTCAAGCACTCCTCTCCTCTAATTTCTTCCGCTCGGCTTTGGCTCGGATCGTGAAGCCGTGCGCATGGCCCCATTGCCCACCATCGACTTGTCGCAGCTCTGGTCATCCTGCGCCTCCTCCACTACTTTAATCTCCGTCAAATCATTCTGGTCCCTGCCCTCCTCAGCAGCCTGTCCGTCAGACGCAGGCTTCGAGGGCGGCTGCTTCTTTTTGACGGTGCGCCATTCCATCGCCACCCCGCCCACGATGGCGAGGCAGGCCATGACGAGACCAACCTGGAAGCACACCCGCAGCGAGTCGTTATATGCCACCAGCGAAGCAGCGCGGTCCTCGACGGGGACGTGATCGAGAAGCTGGGTCGCACCCGAGTTCTGGATGATTTGCGGACTGATACCGGGAAGTCCTGCGAGACGCTTGGCCAGCTGGTTGCTGAGCACGTTCTGACCGACCGACGTAAAGACAGCGCCAAAGAGCTGCTGGCCAAAGAACATGAGCGATGCGCCGACGGCCACCTGCTCGCGTGGGAGCACTGTCTGTGCCGCCATGTTCGGTATCTGGTTGCAGGTGCCGAGGCCGAAGCCGTACAGGACCTGGAAGCCGATCCACTTGCCCTTTGATGTGTCCACCCCCAGAGTGGTAAGCAGACCGGCGCCGATTGAGGAGAGGCAGACCCCGAGCATCAGAAAGGGCGTGTAGTAGCCGATACGCGAGATCAGCTGGCCAGTGAGAATGGACGCTACAACCAGCGGGAGGACCATAGGAAGGAGGTGGATGCCGCTGTCGACGGCCGAGACGCCATCAATAACCTGGAACCAGATGGGAAGATAGTACACTGTCGTCCTGGTGTTGGCATGCGGATCACAAGTGAAGTTTTGAGATTCCAGCCGACTCACCGAACAAGATCGTATGTGCGCCGAGACAGCAGCTCGCCCAAAAGCCGGAGGCGATGCTCCGTTGGAGAAAGATGCGTGGTGGAAGCGTCGCCTGCTCTGGCTTCCACACCTGGATCAAGACGAACGCGATCAGAAGCATAAAGGCCAGCACCAGCAACGCGACGATTCGACCCTCGCTCCACTAGACGCGGTCAACACCACTGGCGAACGAAGGGCACTATGAAAGAAGACTTACCGCGTACTTGGTACCACCCCACTGCAGAGCCAAGCAAAGACACACGATGCCAGGAAGGATGGCAAGCAGGCCCAGACCATTCAGCTGACGCAGCTTCTCCTTCAACGGCTTCTGGGTATTCGGACGGCTGGGGACTTGGAGCAGAAGAAGAACGACCATCATTACCACTCCTCCCAGGGGAAGATTGATGTAAAAGCACCATCTCCAGGTGACGTTGGTGGTGAAGGCGCCGCCAACCAGCGGGCCAGTCACCGAAGCAACCCCAAACACAGCCCCAAAAAACCCCTGATACTTGGGCCGCTTGTGCAGCGGAAGTGCAAACACAACGATGGTCATGACACCCGAGAGAATGCCTCCAGCGCCCAGGCCAGCGATGGCTCTGCCGAGAATGAACCCGATCGAGTTGGGAGCCGCGCCACAGAGGGCCGAACCGACCTCGAACAGGACAATGGACGTCATGAAAGTGGCCTTGATGCTGAAGATGGTGTATATCTTCCCAAACAACAGCTGGAAAGCACAGTTGGTGAGCAGATATGCCGTGCCATACCAGCCAATATCGCCTGCTGAATGAAACTCGTCGGTGATTTGGGGGATCGCAGTCGAGATGATGAGCCGGTCCTGCAGGGTCAGTTTATAGAGTCGATTTCAACAGGGATATGACTCAACACACACCAGGGAAACCAGAAACATCCCAATGAAAATGGAGATTATCAGCAGAAAAAGCTTGAGGCCAGTAGGGTAGACAATGTCATCCTTGTCCTTGTCGTCTTTGGCCTTGTTGATGGTCGTACTCGTACTCGTGCCACTGTGAGGCTTCTCTTGAGACATCATCGTATTGATATCGAAGCAATTGGCGAGAAACTGAAAAGAAAGAAAATCAATGGACCTTACTTCCGCTGAGGACACAATTTGAATGAGCAGAGCATTCATAATAAATCAGAATAAAAGGATATCGCATTCGCAGTAAAGCCCCCTCGCTGCTCGGGGCTCAAAAGTTATTTTTTCCCGAACGCCGAGAGCCTCGCCTTTTTCTGCTCTTCTTTTCTTCCTCGCCCCGACACGTACCTTATCCCATGCATACTATGCAGAATGGCTCAGTCTGAAGCCGGCGGCAATTTCAAAAGCTACTCTTGCTTGGCATGTCGGCAGCGAAAGGTCAAATGCGACCGGCGTGCTCCGTGTTCCAACTGTGTCAAGGCCGACAAGCAATGCAGCTTCATTCCCCCGACGCGCGGGAAGCGTAAAAGGACCAAACCTCCCCGAGAGGGTCTGCACGCCAAATTGGAACGGTACGAGAAACTGCTGAGTTTACACGGCATCAAAACTGAGCCCTCTCATGATCTCGATGACTCCGACTCCGAAACTGATGCGTGGATGAACGAGGATGCCAATGCTGTCGTCACCACAATCGAGGAGACGAAACCAAAACTCGTCATAAGAGAAGGGGTATCCCGATACTTTGACAGGTGTGCTTGCGTCTTTTCCCTTCTGCCATGTTCCTAGCATCTGATATCCTGCAGTGCACCTTGGTCTACTTTCGGCGGCGAAGTAAGCAGTCTCGCTCTTTCGTCCTGGCAGTCTCGCAGTCTTGTCTAACTGTCGTTTAGTTTCAACATCCGGAAGTCGGTAGTAGGCCTACAGATGAATCGTTTCTCGACGAAAGCGGGTTGTTCTTCATTCAGAATGAGAAACTCGAAAATCTCGCAAGCCTCCACCCGTCCGTTCAGATACTGCCAAAGTTAAGGGAGATATACGTCGATCGGGTTGACCCTCTGGTTAAAATCTTGCATCTTCCGACATTCTGGACTGCGTTAACAAATGGACTGCGACATCCAGCGGAGCGATCCAAAAGTCTAGAGGCTATGATGTTCGCTTTCTACCTGGCGATCGTTAGCACTCTCAATGACGACGAGTGCCAGGATCTATTTGGAGTCTCGCAATCGGTCACGTATCCCCGCTATAGACTCGCAAGTCGTCAAGCTCTGGTCAATGCCAGATTCCTGTCGACTTCCGATCCAATGACCCTTCAGGCTTATGCAATGTTCATGGTAAGCGACGCTATCCAGCCCTTTTTCACGAGTCTAACGAAGAAGATGTGCGTCCGAAAAAGTCACCCATGTGACACCTTATTTGTCTTGTCCGGCGTCGCCATCCGGCTGGCACGCAAAATGGGATTCCACCGCGATGGCTCATTTCTTGGACTTTCGCCATTCGACACCGAAATGCGGAGACGACTGTGGTGGCATTTGGTCCATGTGGACTTTCGCATAGCCGATGTGCTGGGGACAAGACCGTCCATGGATCTTTCCTGCGCGGACACCAAAATGCCACTCAATGTCGACGACGAGGATCTCCATCCAGACATGACTGACCTGCCCCCTATACGCAACGGCATTACCTCTATCTCCCTTTGCCTGATCAGACACGAGATCATGGTCTCCTTGCGTAATCTCTCGACATCGTCTCCTGCCGACTTGCGCTGGGAAGTACTCCTGGGGCCCAATATCACCCCGGCCAAAAAGGACAATATCATCTGCCAAATCGAGGATCATTTAGAACGAAAGTACTTGCGGTATTGCGACCCGGCAAACCCGCTCCATACTTTCGTATCGATCATGATCCGGTTCTGCATATGCAAGATGAAGCTCGTTGCTCATAACCCGCGCCAATTCGCCAGCAGTCCCCCCAAAGACCCCCAAAGTGAGCGCGACATGGTATTTGCTAATGCCACCAAGTTATTGGAATATGTAACTTTGGTGCAAGGCGGTCATCGCGGTCTGGAGAAATACACGTGGCAGATAGGCACAAGCGCTCTGTGGAACGCAATGCTTTACGTGCTTATCGAAGTTCGACATCGCAAAACCGGGCCGGAGGTTGACCGGTCCTGGCAGTTGATCGGAGTCGTGTTCTCTTGCCCTCGAGCCTTTGGCAGAACCGCTGAACCCGTGGATACGGTGCTCCGCAAGTGGACACTGGAGGTTTGGGACCACTACGTTGCTGCTTCGAAGGCTGAGGGGCTGCCGGAACCATCAACCCCTGAGTATATCCATGCAATTCGCAGTAGGATCAGGTCAACAACAGATTCAGTATCTCGACCCGAAACTCTGTCTGCGGACCGTGGTCCTGTTGTTGAGAGTTCGCTCGGCTGCAACCAAATACAATCCCACGCACGTGAAAGTCTTCCTGATCTCGGACTTGAGTCTTACGAGTTTCCTGATATTCTGTCCTTCGAAATGGATCCGAATGAATGGGTACAGTGGGAACAATTGGTCGCGGAGGGAGGCTTCCCCTGAGTGCGACTACGTCCTGGAGGAGGCAGAAGACACCGCTGTCATGCTCATCGGCGTCGAGGCAGAACTACCCTTTGCTCTAGGCGTGGCAGGAAAACTCAAAGAGACTCAGTGTATTGTCGCGCAGGTTGCCAGTTTTCCCTGCCAGCGGCTGTTCGAGCAGCAATCGGTGGAGTACAAGCGTTGGAAAGGAAACAGCTAGAGGCTTGTTTGATGGTTCTCAAATCAACTCTAATCCACCTTAAGACCTTCCTGGCGACCAGACCAGATATATGAGGATCCTCTTAGATGATAAGTCCTTCAAACAGGGTCAACCTGCTGTCATTATCAGCTGAAGCAGCTTGGGGGTCATGAAGCAGTAGACAATCGCCTTCCTATGATGATGCAAGAGAACAGTGGCAGGCTTTACAAGTGCAGAGACCTGCATAATACATGTGAATCGGGAGTGCTAGCTAGGGTTATGTCTCAGACTGAAGAAGAGTGCCTTATGCATGAGATTAAGTACCTTATAAGAGCTTCATCGCGCAGCGAAAAATAACTATACCTAGTGCTCTGCCATAATACTTGACACAGCATATGATAAGCTTCACTCTTTTGCCAAGACTGCCTACCTCAACAATCCCTTCCTATCTGGTACAAGCATACTGGCTTGGCACAGCTGTTTCATGTCATTTAGGCAACACTATAACAATAATTTAAGTCTACAGAAACTCCTGCTTCCTAAAATCTCCCACATCTAATCGCAGAAAGTTCAGATCACTCACATTCTCAGCATTAAAGTCAGCTATCATGATGGAGAAACTTGAACATCGATCAGATAATTCTTTTGTCAATGTTCGAATCACCCTCATTGTTATTGCCATCGTCTCTTTTCCCTTCAACCTAATTGGCATCTTTATCGAAAACGCCCAGACTGCTTCGATCAATCAGATAGTAGCTGTAAGTACAGCCTTCCCCATATACTTTTTTTCATGACATGATCGTAACCCAGGATATTTCACCATTTAGCTTAGCAGTTCTGGCCTGTCAGCTATCATGTGGCTCTACTGGCACCGGCAACATCCAGCATCGCTAAAATCTACCGCTGGTATGATGATCACCGACTTTTTCTTCGCAATCTACCTCACAGTAATATACCTCACTATGATCATCATTTCTGGGGCCGCGAGAAAGCATGTGGTTTTCGTGTATGGCAACCTAGCGTGTCTTGTCTCTGGGTAAGTGCCCAACAAGCTATCCTTTCTTCTCCAGCGAAGCTAATGTAAAACTCTCAAGGCTTTTCCACGCATATGCAGCCTTGAAGGTTGCCATCGACAGATATAAGGCTTATTTAGCCCGCGTATCTCGGCCCAAGAGTGTCGCATTCTGTCCCCGCTGCTCTCGCATGCCAGACTATCATATTATGGATGGAGATCAAGAGGTGGGTGTGGCTGTTCTTGCACTGTCTCCAGGACCCATCAATGCCGAGAGTGAACCTCTCATGGGCAGTGATAGTACTACCTCAGCAGAATGTGCCCCCTTCCGAGTTTCCGAGGACACTGCGGTCAGTCTAGGGAGTGCCTTTACTGTGGAGACATTTGACGGGTCTGCGGCAGCAGTCCAGACAAAGTGAACTAGTGTTATGGGAACCGGATTTCTGAAGGTAGTCAGGCTCATCAATGTAGAGCGGATAATCTGCCCTTCGCGGGGGAGGAAAAAGGTAGAGCATAATATCTATCAACTGCACTCTGCAGGAGAAACGATTATCTAGCAGAGGGAGAGGGAGCGTTTTCTACACTGGGACGCGTGTTTGGCGCTATGCATAAGACGGCAGGGAGCGAACCTCTCCCCAGAGGCTCATAGAGGCTCTCAACATCATCTTTCATCTCTATGAAAATGTACATTGCCATTCTTCAGGAGGGATCCCATACCAAAGGTAAAATTAAACTCCAGTAGGTAGATATATATGGAATTCTACCTGCTCGTCAAAACTCTGCAGTTCCTCAGATCCCCTACTTAGAGTCTCATGACTCTTAGACTGACTTTATCAGGCTTAAGTATATCTCCACGTCCCTAGTTCTTCATGAATAATACCTGCTTATGATACATATTGGGAATCTTGTCCCTCTCACCAGCCTTGATGGTTAATGTTTTTACTATATTTCAAGACTATGCTAGCTACTTCAGCCTGCTTTCCAGACATAGATATTAGAGCTAGATCTCAGAGGTTAGGACGCGTATTGTACAGGATGATGCATTGTCCTACCTGCAGATTCCAGTAGCCTTCATATGAATACGAAGGACTTCCCCGCGTCTATGTACATGCTTGAATTGCTGATATGGACTACTGTTATCCGTTAATCTAGCACATACAACCATAGGGTGTGCCCGAATCCACTATATTTTGTATGAAGCTAGTCATAACCTTCATACTGAAGCTGTTACTGGCTCTTCCTCTCCTACTACTGACTAAAGAGCAGAGAACAATGACGCCGGACTCAACCAATGTCAAGAGCTAGTCCTAAATTAGGACATGATTTGGAATAGCTGCAGGCAAATAACCTAAATACGTTAGTGCTGATTCTGCTTGGGTGTCATCATTCGTGGGGCTGATGCACTTTCAGCCTCAAAAAAGACTCCAGAATTGACCCCGAGTCTAATTTCGGTATTTACGCCCAAGTGTTTCTCGACAGACTTGGAAGACGAGCTCTGAGACACCTTGGTTAATACCCTTTGTGCCGATTTCTTAATTCGCGAAATCCAGTGGCGTCGACAATATGGCTGGCGATACGACGCTCCTGGAACTGCAGCCGACAGGATTCAGACTCCGGAAAACACACGAGAAATCTAGGAACGGGTGCCTCAGATGTAAACAACAGCGGAAGAAGGTAGGTCGTTTCTCCATCTCGATGACTCTACACGCGGTGTTCTGATCATATCGCCCAGTGCGATGAGTTGAGACCGAGCTGCTCCAGATGTACCAAGCGCATGTATACATGTCGGTACCAGAACCCTTCCAGTGATGGCAACTTGTCAAAGGAGCAGGGATCGACTCAAATCCCTGTTTCCAGTTTGCCTGTCTCCCCCACAATCCCCAGTACTGCAGTTCCAAACTCTGCGTCGCCCTTAGCACTTTCAAGTGGTCACAGTCCTTTGTCTAGTGGACAACCTGCTTCCTTTTCAAGTCTGAGTACGGATGAAGGAAGACCGCCCTTGGATAGGCACACTCCTGGTACTCTTGATTCGATAGAACTCAGTCTCTTGAGCCACTACCTCACACACACCAGCCGAACTATACCTGTCGACGATCTCGATCTCTACGCTCTTTCGGTAGGGGTGCCAAATCTCGCTTTCAGTTCCGGCGTGGTCATGTCATCCTTGTTAGCCCTGGGAGCAGCCTGCAAGTCGCACGATATAGCCAAGCGAGCCCACGCGCTCCTGGACCCCCAGAGCCTAATGGATATTCGAAAGCTACTTGCGCTTGCGGAGCGCCATCACCAGGCTTCCCTACGGCACATACAAGCGACCATGCAGAACTCGGATTCGTACGATCACGTTCTTGCAAACGCAGCATTGATGGTCTTGTACGCCTCTGCTAGCCACTCCATCCGAGTGCATCTGGCGGCCGCTGCAAAAAAGTGTAGGCAGCGGCTGCCAAATGAGTTGCTTCCGCAGCACTCGCAATGGATCTCGTTCACACGCGCGGCCCATACAGCGTCAACTGCAATTCTCAACGGTCTCGTGGCCGCCGCAGAGGGAATTTGCACCGCCGCCTCCAGCCCGATTCTTGATGCACGATCGAAATTACCGAATCCGGTTCTTTGTAGCACAGATGGCTTATCACCGGAGGATGGTCCATCCGAGAACACGAAGCGCATATTTCTGCCTCTGGTCGCCTCTACATTCAATCGAGCTCTTGAGAGTCTATGCAGGAGAGCTGAATTGACAACCGCTCTTTTGAAAAGGTCAGAGCCTTTTGCAGCCGACCACCTACAGCAACAGGCGTGCTTGGAAACTGTATCTGTACTTGAGAGATGTGCATGCGCAGCTCTATCCACAAGAGAAGGTAGCAAAAGCGTCGAGCTGCCAAGATATCAGCCAATATCATGTAGTGAATTATCGAGAGTCTCACCATGGGTGACAAGATACATGATCAGCGTCACTTCGATGGAGTCGCCGCAGATACTCCGACGGATCATCATGTCTTTTCTGAACAAGGCTCCGGCTGAGTATCTTAATCTCGTCCGGTCAGTGCTCGATTCACCCTCCGCGGGGGCGAGGGCTGAGAATTGGACGACACGAGACTCACCTGGGACGGAGGTACCGCTGCTCGACGCGACGCATTTACTAGCAATGGACATCTTCGCCCATTGGCTGGTCCTTGTTATGTTACTGGATGGCGTCTGGTGGATTAGTGATATTGGAGAGTGGGAGCTTGGCCAGGTTGTATCCTTAATGAAGACTCAGGATCTGCCGAGCCAGCCAGCAGATATTGGACAAACGTGGTGGCCCGAGACCATGTACTCAGTTAAGCGGGAGCTCACTCCCAGTGCCCAGCACTGATCGATCTTGAGATAATCATTTTATGCCAGACTATTAAGCCATCTCGTTACTACTCGTGCGCAGCGTGTCTGAAGTTTTGATTATCAACAAAGCCAACATGGCACGGGGTTTACAGTTGCGGATGAGGGGTGTGGCATGGCGTATCATAAGCGTATTATATGACTCTAAGCCAACAGCCCCATATTTGGAGCATCGTAGTAGGAGAGAGTGTGTGATAAATACAAACATCAAATGGGCCCAGCTAAGGGACTTTATGGCGCACAAACTCAATTCATGCTTCATTTCCCTCTCTTCCCCAGTTCAAAATCACAATGCAGTCGGTAGTTCATAAGACCAATGTGACTCCCCAGCCCATAGCGGAAAAGAATTTGAAAGCACCTGATAGTACTCAAGAGGCAAGAGGCTATCCAACTGGGACTCGATGCAACCACGCTTGTCCACAGGTCGCTGCTCGAATCGATCCTCAATCCACCGCAACCAGGTCTGCTTCGCCGCGTTGATGGCGGCGAAATGGCTTCCCTGGGATACAGTCAAAAGTTCCAGATCCACAGGATAGCTCTTACATGTCTCTTGCGTTGTAGCCTTTGTCGTGTTGTATGGCACTATTGGGTCTTATGTTCCCTGAACGAGAAGAATTGGTCCTTTGAAGGGCCGCTTTCCAGGGTTCGCAAGTTCCTCGAACGCTTTGGCATACCAAGTCTCGTGCCAACCAGGCTGCAAGATCGCCTCTTCAGGACTGAACATGGCAAATGTAACCATCTGGGATCCTTCAATCTGATTCAGAAGTTCTATTCTACTCACACCAAGAGGAGTGAACCAGTCGCTCAGGTTGAAAGACGGGTAAATCTGGTTCAGATCCTTCGCAATCCACGCGAGAAAACCTGCAGAGCGATAGCGCGTCAGTTGGTGGAGCAGCGAGAACCGCGCCGCGATAACCCTTGCCAATATTCTCAAACTTGGTATCGTTCCGCCCGAGAATTTCAGACAGGCCCCAGGCAACCGAGCCGCCCTGGCTGTGGCCCATGACAACATAATCGCTGGACATGTGCTTGGAAAAGGACTCCCGAGCAGCTCTCAAAGCGTTTAGAGCACCGTGAGCACCAGCTTGGCGAACAAAGTACTGGTGCGGGATGCGACTTCCATCCCAAGCGACGTCCACGCCGAGGCCGGCATAGTCCGGGGCAACAACCGCGTATCCAGCCTCGGCCAGCGCAAAAGGCACAATGTCCGCGTAGAAAAGGCCACGGTGTGTCGAGGGAGCTCCATTGGCGTAGAAGCCCGAGGTTCCATTTGTCCATAGCACAACCGGCGCGGATAACCCAGAGTTGTGGGTTTTGCGTCGGAGAACTTTTGGCTGGAACGGCCAAAGGATATAGGCGGAAGCAGGGATCAGCGTACCATTTGCATTTGTCGTGCTATAGATGATACGGGACATGGCCGTCTTCGCGGGGATGGAGAATGGTGACGGATCCGTGAACTCCTGCAGCTTAATTGTCTTCCCAGGCTCTGTGGGCCATTGGTCCCTGGGCAGGCCCCGGACATTGTAGAAGTCATCCTCATGGGCTCCACCATTGGCAAGCTGAGACCGGTCAAAATTGGTGATAGTGTTGATGATGGCGCCCTGGTCGCTTGTCAGGTTGGCCAACTTGAGCTGCTTCGGGCTGAGCTCGAAACTCGCATTCCATCCGGTCGACTGTGTCGCTGCAGCTGAAATAGCTTGACTCGTGACCAATCTAACCCCGAGCACCAGGATAGCGAAGTGTTGGAGGTATGTAAACATCGTAGTGTCAAGGGATGCGTTCAGATCTTTGATAGGTTTGAAGAGTATTTGTTGATCTTGAAAATGGATAGCCTCATCGTTGTCTGTGCCTTTGTATTCGAACCCGTCGCCAGATTGAGGTTGTTCTCGCAGAGATCGAAGAAGCTCACGTCAGGTCTTGCTGCAGCAATGTCAAGCAAGGTAGTACAGTTACAAAGCACCGCCGTATGGCCCAGATCCGCCATGTCTTCTCGAAGGAATTACGCTGTCGTAAACGATGCTAGTGCCAGTGCATACGACTATCTGATCAGATCACAGGGCTGAGAGCCACGGCGTATTACTAATACGCTCCAGAGTCCAGCCGCATCTAATCGAGCCCTGATACGGCAACAGTACGAGACCAGCCAATATCCGCGTGCTGACAGTCCTTCCTGGCGATGGCCATCCGATTGAGGCTAAGGATGGTGGCTGAGCTGTGCGTATTGGAAATTGGCTTCGGACTCTGATGCGCATACGCGGTAAACGAGCTAGGCTGCTGGCTGAAGGATACCGTTTGGAATACATCCTGGTAGTTTAGTTCGGATATGATGTGTTGGAACAAAAAGAGCCATATGTCGATACATAGGTATATAAGGACCCTCATTGCCCCCCTAAACAACAAACCATCATCACCTGTTACTCACAACAACAAGACATCCTCTCAATATCCAACTCCAACAGCCATCATGCTTCCTGATTTTCCCCTACACTCCGTCGTCGCGGTGATGCTCGCCCTTGTCCCTTTGGCGAGGACAGCACCTCAACCGATCACGAAGCGCTCGACATCGGAACTTAGCTTGACAGCTCAGCTGCGACTTGCCGACACGTAAGTACCTCAACATGGACTCGATGATGCTGAACGAATGATCTGATTGTTTAGCGCCATCGAACGTTACAAGCTCCTCCCAAAGGATGAAGACTTTATCTTCAATTTCGCCGGAACCTCGCTTCCGGTTGCCACCAGCCAGAATTTTCCCGCCCTTGTCGGCACTGGTGCATCCTTCAGTATCTCGCAATTGCCAGGTATTCTTGACCAGAATGGGCTCTACTTCTTGAGCCACGCTAATCCATCTCAATAGCATGCAGCATGAGCTTCCTGCACCTCCATCCTCGTGCAACTGAGCTCTTCGCCATTACGTCGGGCCGCGTGTTGTCTGAAATGGTTTCTGAGACGGGCGTCCTTGACTCTGAAGGCCACCAACGGGTCATCCGTGCAGAGCTCGGCCCTGGCATGGTGACCGTCTTTCCGGCTGGGTCGTTTCACACGCAAGTGAACCCAGACTGTGAGCCTGCCAATTTCACCGCCGCCTTTACCTCGGATGAGTTTGCCGTGGGTCTTGTCGCTGCACAGACATTTTCACTCAGTGATGATGTAATTGCTGCCACATTTGGGGAGACCATCGCTGGTGAGGATATTGAGAAGGTCCGGCATGCTATTCCTGCGACCATGGCCATCAAGGTTGAGGAATGTTTGACCAAGTGTGGGAAGCAGAAGCGCCAGGCTTGACCAGTTCGGTGCTGTATATCCTGAGGTGATATTCAGTGCTGGAGACCCCATAGCCAGCAGTTGCTTCCTACTCGGACGCAGCCAGGCTACCAGACAGTTTTGACTTGGCTTATTATAAGGTGCTGCCTCATTGCACGGGATCGTATTTCATGTTCTACAAAGACTTTCTATGGGCAATTCTGCGTTTTAGTCAGCACTAGAGTCGTAATATTTCGATATAGAGAGAGTGGAGGAAGAGCGGCGTAATAGTGTACTACAGCCCACTCACCTTGTCTATCCTGCACTCACCTAAGCTCACCCAGTCTCGCGCGAGGGCGGTACCCACTGACCTGTTGACCGCGTTGAAGCCACAGCGAAGCCAGTCAGGAGGCTTGCCAGACAAGGGCTATCATGGTCCAATCAGTTGATCAAGCGAGGATTTCCTTACTGATATGGTCTGGATGCTGGTATGTACAGTAGGAACTGGGTGATTGAACTCCAGCCCGAAAACGATGATGATCCTGGCTAGTAAAACACCCGTGATAGTCGGGATTAGACATCCCTCTCAGCCCAGCTTTGGATGAGCCCACGAACGGTAGGTTCATACTCCTTCAAGATGACACTGCTTCCTTCTAAAAACGTATTTGCATGGCAAAATGCCAATGGTGGGTCCTTCTTCATGAGTATCACTTCCCTCCATCCTAAAGCCTCTTCACTGACCATGGTCAGATCTTCATAGAATTCGCGGCAGCTGCGTATGTCCGCTGTGCAGCGGTAAATGTGCAAGCGGAGAAGCATCCGGCCAAGGGAAGCCTTGCCTTCCGGAAGACGAGATCGATTGACTTGAAGTGTCAAATTCTGGCTCTCTTTATCGTGAATGATTTCGTAGAGGCCATTGCTGTCACGAAGCATGTGTTGGAGCATACCAAAATGTGCCTGTGAAAATGATTAGAGACATTTGCTTCCGCGCTTGATGATACATACTCTGCTGTGTGCTTGACCCCATTTCTAGAAAGTATTAGTACTCCTGTTGTTTGTCTTCACATAGTTGCACCTACGTTGGTGGAAGGGTTGTAATTCTCGAGTGCTCGCAGTCCATCAACTCCTAATTGCTGATAGAGATTATAGACCACTGGGTCACAGAAAAGTCAGGGCCAACTTCTATGGACTCATCGGGCTCTTACCGTCAGCAGGTTTAATCTCGCTGTCTAAGGTACATCCGAAAAGCTCCAGAATCTCAGGAACGTCGATCAGATAAGCACCGACGAGTTCAGCGCGACACTCGTCCACAGTTGTCGCCAGATCCGCGAAAACTCCTGTCCAGGTTTCCCCTGGACCGAACCAACTGTCAATCGGCTTTCTGGAGAGTGGGTTTAACGGCGGTTGCTCTCTGTCAAAGTTGAAATGCCCCTGGGAATCCTCCTGGAGGAGCTTCCCTGTGCCATGGCCCAGTATTTCATGAAGGACTACCCAAATGTAGTATGCTGTAAAGCGGTGCTCCTGGAAAACTTGGCGATCTGATTCAGAGATCATGTGGATGCCTCTGGCTCGTTTGCTTTCTGCTATCATGCGGTTAGCAAAGATAATGTTTTTGAAACCGTCCTCTTGTCTGATGTCATTGTACTATCGATCTGAAAGTTAGTCGATGACAATGGTTTTTATGCGGGCTGATCACTTACATTTGGAAGATTGATCCCCGGAAACACCAGGCTCGAGCAATAAGCCAGAACTACTTCTTCGTCAGTTCTCTACAATCCGGGAAATAGTTCTCGTTGATGCACTCACTTTGAACGCTGGCAAAATCAGGAATATCGAAAAGCTCCTTCTCAAATGGGCCTTTTCCATTATTCTCCTCGTACCCCTGGGCCCAAGGTAGTTGAGGAATAATATCAGAGGCGATCTCAGCGAGCTTGCCGAGCACTTTTGTCCCTTCTGAATCAGATATCCCAACGATACCCTCGAACTCAGCACGAATGCCAAGGGGATCTCTGTACGGCTCAACGAATCCAAAAACAGTCTCGACCTTTGGGGCCTTGTCCTTGACCCAGACCCTTTGTGCTTCCCTGTAGGAATTGAGGTCGCCGGAAGAAAAGCTTTCTGCAATGCCTGCCAGCAGTTTCTGCTGTTTGCAATTGGCTGTGTACTTCATAGCTTGTTTCAGGCTCTGATTGATCTTCTTGAGTTCATCTTTGTGATCACCCCGGACCAAGCGAATTTTGGTGCTATTAGAAAACTGATTATCGGGTTCTTGTAGAGTGGCTTCATCTTCTTCTACTGAGCCCTGCAGGATATCATATGTCTGGAGGGTAGTTCCACCTTCCGTGGTGACGCTCTTTCTCAATCTAGTGTTCTCGGGGAAGATTTTTGATTTTTCCATCAACTTCGATATGGTGGAAACCTCTTCCATGTTTTCAAGGGTGCCATCTCCAAGATAGTACGTACTTTGGGAGGTGTCACTCGGGACACCCAGACTATTGGGCAGTGGTCGAAACAATGCATCTCGAATTTTTGGAAAAATCTGCGCCGTGGTAGGAGCACAGTTCGCGAGCTTCTCCAGGTCATCTAGCGAGGTATCGGGGTGGAACTTCTGATCTCCAGAGCCCTACAAAATAATCAAATTATGGATTTCCCGTAATAAAGGTGTAGGTACTCACGAAGTAATTGCCAATATTGGAGAGGAAAACCGCTGCATAATTAAGGAAATTCTCCACTTCCATCATGTCCACTTGCGCTCTTCTCGCTAGCTGCTCCCATTGACCATCACAGCTGTGGTGAAGGGACATGATGAAGTCGAAAATATCGTTTCCTTCTGGAGACACTTGTCGAAGAATGATTCTTGTCCCATGCCATGCTGCTCTTGTCTTACTGTCAGTGTGGCTGTGAAATGCCGATGAGTTGGTCTCTTACCTGGCCATGTGGTGGGCGTAGAGCTTCTCTTTGCTGGTTAGGCCTTCAAAGGAGGCCGCTACCGAAAGCTGATATATCTCGGGCTTACGCATTGTTATCACCTTGAAGTCTTTCTGGTTCCTGAACAGCCAAATGCGAAAGCTTGGCTGGGGGGAAGATTTTTCGAGAAGAAGTCAGGATAAGAAGGAGATCGTTTGTTGTGATTGTTGTTGTCACCCCGCAGACGACCACGTGACAGCACTATATACACTCGCTGAGTCGAATACAGAGAACTACTGCAATAATGAGGATAAAACTTGTGATTAGAAGTCTGGTTCAAGCCAGTTATCCGAGAACTTCAGTCAAACAGAACATGTTCTTGGCGGAAACATGCAGGCTTGTTAGTCGGCTATATTACATTTTCTGCTAGTTGTTGACACTCAAACTATGATCATTGTCTACAGTCGCATCATTGGATGGGTGCATTCTATTGTAATAGATTGTAATACCTGCAGACTAGAGATAAGTTACCAGAGCATCCATGGGACGAGATCTCCGAAGTTGGATGCACTTGTACTTGTTTCGCATCCATCTCTCTTGTAGATATTGTCCTTGACGGTGACAGCTCGTTCCATATACTCAGCACTCTCTGGAATACACCCCTGCGACTCGAACACCTTGGATAGCTTGAAAAGCGCTCGCGCTAGGTGCCTCTGACCTTCGGATTCTAGAAGAGCTTCAGATATCTTGACACACTCTGTGAGCAGTTGGCTGTGTGTAGTTAGCAAAATGAAGAACAAGTTGATTATTCCTTTAGGATCTTACATTGCTGAAGCTGAGTTTCCTCCGTGTTGCAAGATATCTGCAACCTGGTACAGGGAGTCGCAGACTTTCAGACGCTCACCCAAGCACCCTCTTCGAAACATCAGAGCTTTAGAAGCAAGCCGAAGGGCATCGTCGTGTAAGCCCTGTTCCATTCTTATACGGGCAAGCAACACCATATCCCTGCACCGCATTAGTTCAAGAACGTATTACCGAGACATATTCGTGACCCACCCAGAGAACCGAGGGTTGCCGGTTTTGAGAAAAGTGTCGTCCGTGAAATCCTTCAGGGACGGACACCTCTTGAGCATCTCCTCTGCGTTATCGGGCTTTCCCATGCGTAGTAGTAGACTGGCCATGTTGCTGTACGAGTTTCCTATTCTCTCGCTCTTGGCTTCCAAGCGGATGTCGATGGATCGCTGAAGGTATTCATGTGCCCTGTCTAGATCCCCGATCTCAGTATAAGCGAGGCCAATTTCGACAAAGCTGGCTGCCAGGAACGAATCGTCGGCTGGGAGTAGTGCAACCCGGCAGTTGTGCGCTTGTTCAAGAGATCCTAGAGCGAGCTGTGGGTGGCCAAGATCAAGCTCTATAAGGCCTTGCAACTCGACCGCGCTTGCATATGCTAGTGTGCCACGATCGGAAAATACCCCCATAGCTGCCTCGAGGTAGCTTCGTGCAGTGTTGTAGTTCTCCTTTTCGTAAAGATACCTGCGATGATTAGTCAATGCCTCATCTTTCGCCTGTGGTTACTCACCAGCAGCAACGCAATAGGAGTTCCGCAAACTTCTGGTTATTCCCAACGTAAACATTGAACTTTTCGTTTTGCTTCACAAGATTGTGCAGATGAGGAAGGCTTCTCTCGCATCGTGACGATGAAGCAACCTGATAACCTAAGTCGGCACTGTATGTATCAGGGAAAGTAGGGAAAAGAAGGTCGACAACTGCGCCAAAGTAAGCTTGCTGTTCCTTAGCACTCATTCGTCTGATGACAGCTGTCTGGACAAGTCGGTGAATAGAAAGTACTTCATTCTCCTCAGACTTCTGAACAAGCCCAACTTGGAGCAAAATTTCTTCTGCGTCGAGAATCCTGCCCGTTTGTCAAGTCAGTGTTGTAGCCTCCACCATTGTACACGAAATGCTTACTCCATCTCATCCTGTAGGAATTCGAGCTCAGGATTTTGTATACTGCCCGACTCTTCTCTCAGCAAAGATTCTTGAACGCAGTCTGGATCGAGGAAGGACAGCAACATGTGAAGCGCCTTTGCGTTTCCAGAAAGCTTCTCCAGGGACATTTCCCACACTGTTGCCAGGGTATGACTATAGTCCATATTTCTCGCGCCTTTGCTATCGATACTCGCCGCGTTTCTTTTGTACAGGGCTAGGAATTTATGCAGGGGAACTTTTCGGTGTACCATGAAGCCTCCTATTTGATTGAGTGCGAGGGGTAACCCGCCGAGGGCAGTGGTAATTGCTTTTGCTTCCTCTCGATTGGGATTTGATGTACTATCAGCACCGAGGAAGTTTAGCAGCGCGGCCGAACCAGTTTCAATTTCAAAAGGCTTGACCAGACAGCCATCCGAAGCAAGGGCAAAGGCTGCATTCGAGTCACGACTTGTTACCAGGATGGAGCCCGAGGAGCTTCTCGGCCAAGCGTGTTTTGCTAGTTCCAGGTCGTCGGCATTATCTAAGACCAATAGCCATTTACAACCTAGGACAGTCTCAGAAGGAACTATACCAAGTAGCTTTCGCACACTTACTCGTCTCCGCGAGCCAGTCTTTCACTCCCAGCATTACTGCGTTGTCGTCCGTTTGCATATCAGCTTTAGTCAGTCCCAGGCATTTCGAGATCTCTCGCTAACCTTGTCCAATCGTAACAAGATTGTCTGTAGCAAGCCAGAATATTGCGTCATACTTGCTACGCGAATCATTTGCGTATCTCAGAGCGACCTGTGTTTTTCCAACTCCCCCCATTCCATGGAGCGCAAACGACCGTAATGTGGCTTTTCCTTCCACATCCAACGAGCTTTGGATCTGGGAAAGGATGTCCTCACGGCCCCAGAATCGAGAGTTTTCGCTAAAGGGAAGGTAGTAGTATCTTTTCTTCTCAGGTTCAGATTTCTGAGTGTGTATTGTAGACATGAGTTCGAGGATCTCGTGATATTTCTGGTTATCCCTGCGCATGCGCGTGAGCTCGACCTCGCTCTCAACGGTCGATGAAAGCCGACGTATCCGCTGGATCGTTCTATTAAAATCTCCACGCAGCTCTGGCCAGGAGTTTCGGACAATGTGAACTTGAGGATTCAGCACAGCAACGAAAGAATGTGCCTCTGAGTGCTAAAATCACCTACCGTGCTTGTGGCCGCGGAAGAAGTGAATTGCTCGCGCATAGAAGCAGATGACCTCTGTATAGACCGCAAGCAGTGAGTCCTCCAATTCTTGACTCATTGGGAGCGTCTGCTCATACGTCCGAAAGCGAGGCAATGTCAGACTGAGTTCCTCAAGCATGTCGCAAACTTCCTGAAGCGTGTTACTGGTAGAAGAGGCCAACTGCGCCGAAGTAATCAGAATCCAAACGGAAATATAACCAGATTATGGAGCGACGCACTGTTAGTATCATTCGAATGCTGCCCCAGACCACAGCTGTCATGGCAGTGTCGGCGCCGAAGGTGACTGCCAGCACGGCGGAGAAATCATTGACAAATTTGATCATCGGCTTCAGTCTATTGACCGATTCCAGCGCCTTCCTCCCTGGAGATCCAACAGGCTGTAGTAATTTAGCATCTTGAAGCACTTCTTCGACACCTTTTGTCCCGAGGATCATTGCAAGGTCGTCATCTCCGGCAAGCTCTTCGCGAAAGTTCTCGAGAGCCTTCTGCCACAGAGGGGACTGTTGGTCCTTCAGTGGTGGTCGAAACATTCTCAATCGGTCGTCTTGAGACAAAATAAGTAGGCCCGTAATATTTGTGAGGATGATCGAGGGCTTCAATAGCAACGGTCCAGCTAACACATCTCTCTTTTCACGGGGGGAAATGCCTCGCGCTTGGACTTGCTGACCTACTAAGAGTGGCGCAGTGGGGTATGACAGGGACAAGGCAATTGTGATACTGCCGCCAAACTGGAATATATGCGAACCCATTGAATGAGCTGCATTCACTTAAATTAAGGAGCATGGTCGAGCTTATCGCGGCTTCATTACTGGCGGCATCAGAGCTTAGCTCTGTCACATCCAACAATTCCCCCGCCACGGCGGCTTTTGAAGCAATCTCACTAGCCGTGATGGAATTTATCCTTGTCTGCTACAGGAGACTAAGCGAGACTAAGTTCTCCTAATCCTATGGACGATCGGATTGAAGCACCTGCTTTACACTATCGTATCTTTCGTGGTCCACAATGAGGTGCTCTCCTGCTCTGATTTGGTTGCAAATACAGATGGTTTCACTGGAAAGGACGAACCTCGTTGACATTTTATCTGATCCTCCACAACCATGCCAAAGTATATGCAGACTATGAATATGCGCCCATGTCAAGCGCAACAGACTGATGGAAGAAGAGCTGAGTCAGGTTACTCAGGTAATCGGTAGGCTAGTTACCCAAATACAGCGCCAAGCAGGGGATGTGGAAGAACGTGCATATCAGCAGCACAAATTGAGATTGAGCATGGAACAGTTATCAGAATGCAGCAAGGCTGAAACGGAGGGAGAAGCGGTGCTTATGAAATGGCTTTACCCTTTCTATATATCCCCAACATGCGGTCAACCAGAATGCGCCATTCCGTTGAATACGCACATTATCAGGGAAGTCGCTGTAGATCGCCTACTTGTGAAATCATGGCGAGGTTCCAGTGGAAGTCTCGTCTCCAGAAGAACCTTCAACAATCAAACCTTTTCGGTAAGTGAAAAGACCCTCGAAATCTAATAGGAGTCCACAACTTTAGTATGCATGTCTCTGAACAGAAACAGTGACCTCCAATCAGCTCTCTTTTCAACATGGTAAATACAGCCTCCATTCGGAACGACAATCATCCCACAAGTCCAAATGTCAATCATGGTACAGCTCTTGGCTTGCATGGCAACTAGAGCAAATGCCATCGGAATTCTTCGATGTATTGAATTGTGAGGATATGAAGCATGGCCATACGAAGTGGCTTGAACAATTTGAAGGAGCCTTCTTCAAAATTGCCGAGTATCTAGTCACAAAGGAATCAATCACTTTTGACGAGCTGATGACGCTGCTGTGCAAAGACGGTATCATAAGGGAGCTCAGCCACGGCGATAAATATCATATGTCAGCTTTCTATCTGATTCTCTGTATTGTGGGCTGGCAAACAATGCTCTTTAAACCAAAGTGCATTGATTCTATGCATTTTGAGATTCAGGACGAACAAGTGGGCTATAGGGGCGATGCATATATGTGTTTGAAGCTAGAGGTAGCCAGTTGTACCTGAATGCCCCTGAGTGAGCTGCTGATGGGCTTCGGAGTCCTCTTACCGTCCAAGAACCTTTGTCTGAGTGACGATGAGAAGAGCCGAGAAGCATTCCAGCGAAAGGTAGAGGTCAACGCAAAACGCTTCAATGCACACTTTCTTACTTCCATTATCGGTGTTCAGTTGAAGTGGGTTGACACTCTGGCGTGTCACCTGGAGTATAACCCTGTCACTAAAGAACTGTTTCTGTTTCGCTTTCCTTCATTTTTTCTGTCTTGCCCTTCGCATTCCTCAGGAGCAGGGAAAAGAACAGTCTTGCAGTCATGTGCAACCGCGGATAGGTTTCATTGTCAATGGGCAACAGAAAGTGAGGTTGGCTGCTTGCTTGAAGAGATTCTACTGTCTTATCGCCTCTTGTTCGGACAAACGAAGAAGTCACGAGCCTTGTTTCGATCTCTTGATCCCTTCCGTGATGTCCCAAGGGCGGTGGCTGATCCCCTTCTTCCAATCCTCTGTGGGAAGCGATCTTGTCACGGTTTAAGGCCTTTGGAAACCGAAGAATACTATCTTCCCAGAGACTTTCCGGTCCTTCGGTATCGACTATCAGTACTAACTTACAGGACCACCTCACGCGGGCCACGCCCCGTAAATGGGTCCAGCTCTGGCGTGATAACAGAAATTCCGCACACTGGCTGACGTTCTGGGCTGTCATCATCTTTGGTGCTTTTGGTACGTTGCTGGCTCTATTGCAGGTCATTTTGCAGGCCGTTCAGATTGCTTTTCCTTGAAGGGGGGTGATCTCACTTGAGCGAGTGGTTTGGACGTCAGCCTCCTTAGGAGAATAAGTCGCCGCAAGTCCAGGAATTATGACTCAGAGACACAGCTTACCCTGACTAGAACACGAGCAGAGATTGTTTGAACTCTTTGAACAACAGTCTCATTGAAGCCCACAGCAAAGGACTATGGAGGGTTCGAAAATCACACGTTCAATTTTCTTTACGAGGATGCTGCGAGAATCCAATGAAAGGAAGTAATAGAAATGGGCATCTCTAGATGCAAACTTGACAGAATAGGACGATCACTGCTCGCGTATATTCTTAAATTATCAGAGTAGAACATGATGGAGGTGACGGGGCTGAAGACCAGCCCTGATGATGCTCTCGAGGCAGTCGGTTCATCGGAAAAGCTGGACGGAATAAGATCCCTCCAGTTGACTGGCAATTCACGGCGCACTCGACGCTGAAATTACTTTCCCAGCTCTGGATATTCGGCGGTGTATCCTTTTACCAGCTCATTCCACTTTCGAGCATAGTCCTCGCCTCCGGCGGGAAGATCCAGTAAAGAACATCATCTATAAGCTGATATTGAACAAAGCAATAAATACTAATCCTTTCTTCATTTTTATGTCTATCGTTGAGTCCACCATTGATGCTATCCTTGGATACATCATTGAATCTGCCAGTGGATTTGACCCTAGTCTTGGTGTCTTAAATGCTCGAATCTTCCCTCAGATCTATTTCTGCTTCGGATTTTCACTGGATATCGCTAACTCTTCGTCGAGGCTATGCTCCAACTTGTCATTCTAGCTGGCTGCTCAATGTGCGAAGCTATCTTGATAGTCTCATCTCCAAGCCTTACACATCTCTCCACCCTACCCTTAACTTCGTTTAAAAACGAATCCTCGGGTATCTCTTTAGGATCAAGTAGGAAATCTAGGATATACATCCCTGGCGTAAGTTTCAAGGACTTGTTTGACCATACTCATGCCGAATAAGTATCCACCATTATATTCAATTCTAATCCTGCGGAGGAGAGACACTGAACTCTGAGAAAGTGAGAAAGACCCTCCCTGCAAACATGACAACCTTTCTTGCCCTTTGGCTGAGTTAAGCCAGTTTCGTGAGAAATTCTTCAGTCCTTGTCGGCAAAAATGGCCGGTTGCTTCTGTGTTCAAAGACGATCTGCTGTTACACCAACCGAAAGTAGCCGATATTTCGGGCTTTTATTGACCGTCCCTACTTCCAGCATTGGCTCGGCGACATGAGATGATCAAGGGAAAAGCAAGAGGTGCAATCAACTCCGTACACAAGGACGAAACAAACCAGGCTCTCTCAGTCAGAAAATTAGCGCCCAAGAAAGTCAACACCGCAGGCGCAGTACAACCCACTGACTTCCTCCTGCATCCTTAACTCCTTCTGGACTATGAGCTCAGTAGACATCCAAATAGCCCGTATCTAGGATCTGATCTACCGTCATCCTCTTCGTTGGGTCGGGTTGTAAGACGGCGTAGAGGAACACAACATCATACTCTGGAATCCCTAATGCTACCAAGCGATCGGTCCAATGTTCCTCGCTGGAATTCAGGCCACCTCTCACTCCGTGGTCATGGACAGCGGAGTAATCACAATCCTGAAAGTATTCAACTGAATGGAGGTCAAAATGGCACTGACATGCCCGAATCATCTCCGCCTTCTGTTCGAGAGTGCCTCCTTTGCTTACCGAATCGTATATACCAGGAAAATTGAAATCAATTTGCGCTTGGAGGAGGTGAAAGTACTTTTTTGGCCATGGCTTAGCACATCCATCAAATTCAAAGCTGCCGGGTTCCTTACTGCAATTCTCCATGCCCAGATGTCGATAGCGCTTGTCCATGCCTTGCCAAAGTAGATCTCTGGACTCCTGTATGTGATGGAAATCACTTCACCTCGGTCCGGCGCCATGACTAAATGGAGGTGTTATCACTAGGAGCTCCTAAGCAGTAAGCGTTGGATTTGTCCATTACTTACCAGAACCAAGGTCTGCCAACTTGACATTGATTCTCAAAGGCATGGCCACATCGTCGCTAGCTGGATCTGCATCTTGGAACTCATTTAGAAGAACGTTTTCCATCTTGAAGTCTGTTGATGAGAGCTTGTTTCTGCACTGTTTGCTCCTTACTGTAAAGGTACCACAGTATACGAGACCCTTCTCGTGAATTTCACGTAAGCCTAGAAGTGCTAATTCCATGATATACTTTATTTTCCGGGTTGTAAGTGGTCTTCGTGTTCGCGCAGACCACAAAGTTTTCTCAAACGGCTCCAAAACCATCATTGTTGGGCCCCGTCAGAGCGCGGGGGAATGACATCGACCATCTTGCGGATAAATTTGGCAGGCCGGAAGAGGCTTTGCATCTCCATCTCTTTTTGGAGTAATGGAGCAGACGCCATGTAACCCACTGGCCGAACACTCTCATTAGATGGCAGGGATATGTATTCCCCCGATATTCCCAACGGGACTCGACTTTCCTCAACCCCTCTTGCCAAGGCTAGGCATTAGGCCTTTGATAACGATCTGATGTGTCAATGGGCTATCACAGTATCACCAAGCTGGATGCGAAACTCGGTCTATCGACTGGTTATATGCATAGCCACAATTATCTTAGCGGGGGTGTTTGCCGAAAGGGGCATATATTTCGTTCAATGGACGCTATGCTTCTGATGCATCCCACGGTGCTTGATATTTCATTCAAGCAGATGCACCAATGACTTTACAGCATCCAATGTACGTATGCATCCCCGTTCCATCCATGATCAATACCTAGTAGTCTGATATGTACCTAGGATTCTTCCACGATTTCCTCTCCCAAAGAATGAATGGCCAATGAGCCCACACCGGAAAAATACGAGTCGCCGACTTCCGACGCTAGCCACTCAGAGCCTGAGGCAGCATCATCCCAATCATGAATCGCGATCGCAACATGAGATGAATATCTTGGAAGTTGGCACATTAGCCTAGTCTTCAGCAAACCTTAAGGAAAGTATGCATCGCAACTCGCAAGAGAGCTTAGCGCCCTGTTGCCAGCTGCAATGTACCAGTACCACCACTATCACCGCACTAATTCCCTTTTAAGTTCGTATGTGGTGCGGCAAGATAGCCGAGCTTACGTTCGCTGAGATGATGACGACGCCGGCTTGGCTACTGTGGCTGATCAGCCGAACGCCCTTTGGCCAGTCCCATTCTGGACTTCTTCTGGGCACCCCTTGGACTGACTCGGAATTCTCACTCCTCCTCGTACCTCCTCGTCCTGCTATTGAATACTAACGTATTCTATCTCGGTGATGTTCTTGTGATCACAGAAAGGGGTTACTCCACTAGTCAACAATCAATAACCTCGATTTCTTGTCCCCCGACTACGTTTTAAATTGATATGGACGATCAAACTGGCGTGTCACAGCTCATTGCTTCATTAGCCTGGCTGCTCTGCCGAGTGGAGTAGGGCAATTTGCCGGTGCTTTGAAGCGTGGCTTGGAGTACTCGTGGCCGGCGTCATCCAACCGTTGTTTACCCACCAAATCCCTAGATGGCTGTCTTGGCGAGTGTGGAGTACTGAGAATCTCCCAAATTGATTCGCTCAGGATTCGATGCTCTATTGTCTATGGACTCCGCAGTGATGAATTATGGATACAGAAACATGTCTTTCCCGGTCGTCCTTGGACACTCTATAAATAAGCTTGGCATCCCAGGAAAAGATTGACGACTCCTGATGATGAGAGGGGGAGTCAGTACGATAAAAGTGCTCGAGCACCTCAAGCTCTTGGCCCTCTTCCATGAGTTCGAGTCTCATATTAAACGTTACCATGTGAATCTCGATTCCGTCCTCTCCTCTCGCGATCTCTTCCCAGACCTCCTCTCCAACGTTGGTCAGCCGTGTCCCAATGTCCTCTTGGACTTGGAGTTCTGCATGCTTTCGCCGCCAGTTCTCCATACTCCCTGATCCACCTCCATGTTCGGAATCGCGGAGCAGGTTCTCCTGCTTGATTGTCACCGTCGCTGGTGTCTTCGTTAGTCTCCTCTACCTGCTCTACGTCTTCGCTGTTCCTCAGCTGCTTCGATTCCGCTTTCGACTCGATCTAAGCCCGTATGATCTGGGATTGTACGGCTTCGGTCCTTCAAGGAGTTACGTATCTTTCGAGTACGAGTCGCCTATGGTAGAGATCACAGAATGGGGTTCCGGATGCGATCCGCGATATACATTTCTTGCTCCTCGCGGTGACTCGGTTGTCCACCCTGGGCCGGTCATTCTGGATGCTGATGGGGAATTGGTGTGGATGAAGTATAACTGGGATACAACGCAGGACTTCAAAGTACAGCGATACAATGGCGCAGATTACTTGACATACTGGGAAGGTACTGAAGTGGAAAGTCGTGGCTACGGGTCATGGTACATGGTCAGTCTGGCCTGCATACAGTGTTTCAGACGATGAAAAATCAAGAATACTAAAATGACCATTCGCAGCTCGATTCGACCTACACCCAAAAATACCAGATATCCCCCGTCGGCAATTTCGGGGGCGGCGATTTGCACGAATTTCACATCACCGAGCAGGGGACTGCTCTTGTCACTGTCTACGACCCTGTTCCCGCGGATTTGACTTCCATAGGAGGACCGGAGCTCGGTTGGATACTTGATGGTATTTTCCAAGAGATCGACATCGAAACAGGCGAATTGCTTTTCGAATGGCGCGCGTCCAAACACTACCCCGTCAACAGCACCTACGAAGCACTGAAGGCAGCGGGGAAGGATAAGAGTAACGCGTTCGATTTCTATCACATAAACAGTGTCGACAAAGATGACCATGGAAACTATATTGTCTCTGCGAGACATCTCCATACCGTTAGCTACATCGACCACGTCACTGGGGCCGTGTTGTGGACCCTCGGCGGGAAGTTGAACGAATTTACAGACCTGTCTGACGGACAAGCGACGAATTTTGCCTGGCAGCATGATGCGCGGTGGCACGTCAACAACACAGTTACACTATTTGACAACGCGGCCCATTCGAACAACGATCCTGACAGTGAAAGTCGCGGCGTAGTCATTCAACTCGATATCTCCGGCCGCACGGCCGAACTGCTCGCAGAGTACTACCATCCTCAACAGATGAGGGCTGTATCGCAAGGCAACGTCCAGATTTTGGATGAAAGTGGTCGGACCCTGGTTGGCTGGGGCCACAGCGCAGCGTTCACAGAGTACACCGCCGATGGGGGCCTGCTCTGCGATGTCCACTTCGGGGCTTCGGCGTTCTTCACTTTCGGTCGGGTCGTGTCCTATCGTGCGTTTAAGGGCACCTGGGTGGGCAGACCACAGACAATCCCTGACGCGGCAGTCATGGGCGACCATGTGTACGTGAGCTGGAACGGCGCAACGGAGGTGGTAGCCTGGCGACTGGAAGTCTGGGACACCCACAATGTTGAAGACAGCACGTTCGACATCGTCGCTCAGTTCGAGAAGACCGGGTTCGAGACGGAGGTTGAAGTTCCCGAGGAACTGGGCAGTCCGCTTTTCCGCCTGGCGGCTATGGATGCCGAGGGCAATGTGTTGGGGTACACTGAAGTCCTACAGAAGGATCAGGGTGTCGATGTGGATGAACTTCTTGACCTGCACAACTGGATCGTGGCTGCTGCTTTTATTGTCAGTGTCGGGGGTCTGTTACTCGGTCTGTACCAGTGCTGTGGCTGTTGTCGGGTCCTTCACCGATGCCGTCGTCGTCCGAATGAGTATCAGCTGGTGGCTTTTGGTGATAACGATGAACAATCTTCTGTCTGAGGGCTTGCAGTTCATGCACAATTCCCTACTTGGTCTACTCGCGATACATCTGGTATATATCATTGGTGATTCCTCAGGTAGATATCACCCACCTCACCGTATCCTTATACTTGCTGTTATTTTGTACATATATTCAGACACGACAATATATACACGCATATATATGCAAGATCATCACGCTCCAGCCACTGTAGCACCAAGCTCCAGTGGTGAAAGCAGTTCGCCTAGCTTGTCCCCAGCGTTGCTCCCCTTCCGGCCTAGAGCACCGAACTATCAGTCCTCTACTTTTCATTTCTGGACACTAGTATCCGATGAAGAATCAAAGTCAACCTCCTGAATGGCAATATAGTCCGTGTACCAAGTCTTGCCGTTATCGGTCGTTGCGAAGCCAGCGTCAGTGCACGAGTACAGCGCCATAGTCTTGCCGAACGATTCATCAGCGGCGCTGAGGGTGACCGTTAGGTTGGTTATGCCTGCCATGTTAGCTTTCATGCTTCCATCCAGCTTTCACAGACAAGGAAACTACTTACTGTAACCCTGCAAAAGGCCGCAGTTGCCTGAGCCAGTGTAGCACTCGTTCGAGGAGTAGAGATATTGAAGGCCATTATCGAGGGCTGCGATGCTGTCAGTCATTGTCTACCAAGCTGACATGCGGACGATGCCTACCGTCCGATTGCTGCGAGACCACCTCGCCGTTCATGGTGACGGTCTGGTACACCTTGTTGTTCTCGACGGAGACTGCACCGGTTAGTCTAGCCAGCGCCAGCTACAACTGCAGTGAAGCCACGTACTCTCAAAGTCGAGGTTGGTCTTTGGCGGCACAGGTACATAAGCCTGTCCGATCTGACCGTCTGTCTACACTCAGAACCCAAGCCCAGGTAGTATGCATCAGAAAGAAATCTTACCAGGAGTGTAGGTGCTAGCGGCCACACACCACTCGGTGCTATTCGCAGAACAGCCCCTATTGCCTACTATCAGCTCCGCGGCCATCATCGCACGAACTCGGAAGCATACTGCGACTCCTGATCTGGAGACCAGTTCAGCAGCGGCTGGTACAAATTCGCGTCTGCGTCGCCGTTCGTGGAAGAGGCTCCCACCCAGACGGAGACCCAGACCTGGTCGGAGGGAGAGGACACCTTCACGCCTGATGGGACGTCCGGGGGGACGAGCGAGTAGGTCGCTTTCGTGATGGAAGCGCCGGTTGGGGGACCGAGGTAGAAAAGACTGTTGCCGAAGACCCAGGAGTCGCTGGGCATGGAGGCCGTAGCCCCCAGGGCTAGGGCTAAGGGAATGGAAAGGTATGCGTAGCGCATTCTGGATTTTGTTACGGGCAGTGTCAAGAATGAATGTAGATAGCCAGATCTGCTGTGATTACAAAAATGATGATCGGAGAGATTGCGAGAAGCTGGTATATAAGCTATCACCCTCGAGATGGGCAACGCAGAAATAGAGCGTGCACTAGTCTTCATATTGAGTCAAGCCAGTCAGCCATTGTGCCGACGACCGTCGTACTCGTAATTTTTCCTGGATATGTCCCTTGTTTATTGTGCATTATGTACTTAGTGCACGACACTGAGACAAGCCTATCAGTCTGAAACTGAGTCCGCCGCTGATGACTCCATTGGTATCAAGATGAAACGTAATTAGGGCTGTCGGAATTCGGATGCTTGCGAGGGACGAGCTTAGTTAAATTAAACTTGTCTTCTGATGAGTACTTATTTCGTACGCACTAACCAGTATATTGATGCCTGTCTCCTGAGTTTTGAGATGGCATCATATCATCATCAGTTGTGCTGCAGCAGAAATTCATCCCTACCCTTTTCCCTTCTCGGCGTAGCATAGCAGTCTGGAACATGTTCAACGCAGTTTGACTTCCATACTGCACATGGACAAGTCAGATTCATCAGTTTCACACAGCTATATCGATTGTTAACATATAAACACCGAAGAGGAACTCAACCCATTAGAGCAGCCGTCAACCCCACTTTTAGCGGGATTTGCCATGCTGCAAGTTGGCGCCTTACCATTGTCTCTCGGACACTTTGACAGAGACAACAACCATCGCTTCCTGCGAGCATCGTGGTTGATTAGACGAATGCCAATGAATGCTGGCTGCGAAGTCAACTGATCAACTGTCTCGATGTCGCTCTGAATCTCTCGTTGTAGACAATTCTGCTGTATCTGGGCGACATCGGCAACACGAGAAGGAACCTGAGAGTCTTGTATGAAAGCATTCCGCAACATGGCCTCAACTGAAAAGCGGTTTACCGTCGCAATTGTGGGCGGCGGAATCGGAGGCCTCACGCTGGCAGCAGGACTCTTGCGCCGCAATGTGCCTGTTCAAATTTATGAAGCCGCTCCGGAGTTCAAAGAGGTGGGACTGGGTTTAACAATAGGGCCAGCGGCTCACCGTGCGATGCCATTGATTGATCCTCAGATCCGCGAGATATATGATTCACTCATCACGACCCATGCGGACAGTCCTGGGTATGAGCGGTTCAAACAGACCTGGTTTGAGGTTGTCTGGGCGACAGGTCCGAAATCTGGCCAGATTCTCATGGACTTGAAGGCCCTGCCGTCAGGGCAGACCACTGTGCGGAGAGCGGACTTCTTGGACGCTTTGGTTGGGCTGGTTCCCCCTGAGATTGCACACTTTGGAAAGAGGTTGATCAAGCTAGTCGAATCGCCGACCGAGGTGGATCTGTACTTTGAAGATGGTACCTCTGCGACTGCGGATATCGTGGTCGGTTGTGATGGGATTCGGTCAAGAGTCAAGGAGTTTATGCTACCGGATGAGTATGAGCAGGCCATGCCACGGTACAGCGGGATGTACGGATATCGCGCAGTCTTGGACATGGAGACCATGGTCGAAGCGGTCGGTGACCACCGCGCTCGAGTAGCGACCATGTATGTTGGAGATGGTGCATATGGAATTTCGTATCCCATCATGCGCGCGAAGAAGGTCAATGTAGGTCTCTATATCCTGCATGATCAGTGGGACAACGAAGCTTGGGTTCGTCCGGCCAGCAAGGAGGATATGCGGAGGGACCTGAAGCATATGGGAGAATATGTCAATCGGCTGGTCGAGGTATGCGAAAAATAATCATCAAGATTTCTGCACCTCCAGCTGACATTGTACATGACAGTATATGCCGGATCCCTCGCAGTGGGCTATATTTGAACATCCGCATTTGTCCACCTTTGCGAGATCGCGTATAGCGATTCTTGGGGATGCCGCTCATGCTTCCACCCCACACCAAGGAGCAGGAGCAGGACAGGCAATTGAGGATGCTCACGTACTAGCAGAGCTTCTTGGTGATCCGAGAGTAATTGACGCCAGAGATGTCATCGCAGCATTTCAGGCATACGATGCAGTGCGACGGCCGCGCAGCCAGAGAGTGGTAACCAGCAGCAAAGAGAACGCATTCCTGTTATGCTTACGCCTGAAAGGAGTAGAAGATGACGAGGAGAAGTTGAGAAAAACTTTTCAAGAACGGTTACGGTGGCTTTGGGATATTGATATCCAGGACCAAGCGGAGAGGGCGAGGCAGATCATGTTGGAGCAGATGCAGAACCGATCGAATTGTGTATCAATGAGCGACTGAAATAGCATCTCTTTGAATGCACTTGGTTGAAGACAATTCCTCCAACAATATCTTTATCTGTTCCAAATTCTGGGTCCTGATATGTTTCTGATCACTGTTGATTTACCGACCTTACATGGAGAATTGGCCAATGAGCAGCTGCCTGAAGGATTCGGCACCGACCAGCAAAACATACGCCAGGCATTCAGGCAGCACCCAGGCTCGGCTACCCGCGGCGATTCTCCAGATTCCCCGCATGATGAAATGACAATCACCAGCTGTGAGACTTTCGTATAAATCACCCAGGGGGATGTTCTAGGAAAGTCTTTGATTTTGACCTCTCGCGGTCCCTTTTCAGTATTCCCACCTTCACTCCTGCCTTCCCGCCTATCATCCGTCCAGCCATGGCTTCTCTCCGCACCCCAGTCAAGAGGTTATTACGACAACCTCCCTGCCGGTTGTACTCGGGCGCTCCATCATCCTCATCACGACTCAACCTACCCATCGACTACAAATCCACGCCTCTCTTGCACCATACCTCGTCCTCACTATCGAGCGCGTTAGACCTCCCCGGATCTACCACCTCCAAATCCCTGAATCTATACCAAGCGATCAATTCCGCGTTGCGAACCGCCCTTGCTACGGATAACAGGGTGATGCTCTTTGGGGAGGATGTGGCATTCGGCGGAGTGTTTCGGTGCTCAATGGACTTGCAAACAGAGTTTGGATCGGAGCGCGTATTCAATACCCCGTTGACGGAACAAGGGATTGTAGGGTTCGCTATCGGAGCTGCAGCGCAGGGCATGAAGCCTGTGGCCGAGATCCAGTTCGCAGATTATGTTTTTCCTGCCTTTGACCAGATTATGAACGAAGCTGCAAAGTTCAGGTATCGCGAGGGAAATACGGGAGTGAATGTGGGGGGAATGGTGGTTAGAATGCCGTGTGGTGCAGTCGGACACGGCGCCCTGTGAGTTGAATCCCCTTTGCGTTGCTGCGCCGTAGCGATTGCTAATCTGACTCTGGGTACAGCTATCATACACAATCTCCCGAATCGCTTTTTGCGCATGTCCCCGGCGTCCAAGTGGTCATTCCTCGGTCTCCGTCACAAGCAAAGGGCCTTCTTCTGAGCGCCATCTTCCAGAGCAACAACCCAGTCATCTTCATGGAGCCCAAGATTCTGTACCGCGCAGCTGTCGAGCACGTTCCCAATGAATTCTACACAATACCCCTTAACAAAGCGGAAGTGGTCAAACCAGGAAATGACGTGACGGTCATCTCGTACGGTCAACCAATGTACCTCTGCTCTGCAGCCATCAGCGCTATCGAAAAGGCCATGGGCGCCAGCGTCGAACTCATCGATCTCCGAACAATATACCCTTGGGACCGACAAACTGTCCTCGATAGCGTGAAGAAAACCGGACGTGCTATCGTTGTGCACGAGAGTATGATCAACTATGGCGTCGGTGCTGAAGTTGCTGCTACCATCCAAGACGGCGCATTCCTGCGTCTTGAAGCTCCAGTGAAGCGAGTGGCTGGGTGGAGTACCCATACAGGCCTTACATTTGAGAAACTCATCTTACCTGATGTCGCAAGTAAGTGATCCTGCCCCCTGCTTGTTTGTTCATAATGCGCGATTCAGTTGCTGACGTGTAGCAGGAATTTATGATGCTATCAAGCAGACACTGGAGTACTGAGCGTTTATATGGTTCCAATAGAGAAATAGAGCATTTGCGTGCAATGGAAATGCTTTAGACTTCAACACCAAATCTTAGACAGAAACTTCTCCTCCTGAAATCATCTATTGTTTCATTCATGGTCGGGATGAGATAAATGATCGCCAAGCCCGACACTTTTGAGGACTCATGGCCAAAACAAGTTGAGATAAGATGTCGATGTACTGCTGTTGTCGAGCTCTTGACGAGGCGCGTGCAGGCCGATTTGATTTGAGTGATTTGAGTAAGAGAACGGGGCCAATATCTTCGGAGCACTAGAGGTGAATGACTTTCTCGTCAAGCGTGTCGACGTTTACAGAATGCGATGCGCAATTGAACCAGTCCTACTTCTTAAAGGACAATGCAGGCGCTCCTTATGGCTGACTTAACAGACCTGATTGTTACGTATTCTGGAGCCTATAGAAGATTTACTGCCTGCTCTGGCATCCTGCACTACTGGATGAATATCCTGTCGAGAAGGATCACATAGCTCAGTCTCTTCAACAGCAGAATAAGTCTTTGAGGCCCTACAGGAGTCCTTTGATTGATCAGAAATAGAAAGGAACCGAAAGAAAGCAAAGAGTACTCCCTAACAGCCCCTTGTGCCGGTGCCGGTGGGTATATATATCGCGCTAGGAACCTGCCATGACCATCTTGATTCGAGAGACGATCGGAATTTGGAGAAACTGCAGTGGGAGAAGTCAATTATGAATAGACTTCTTGAAAGCGATCAACTAGGATAATGATAATTTTTCAGCCGAGTACCATGAACGGCTTTGTCTCTTCTATGATTCTGTACTGTTGATGGTGTTTTCTCTCCCGACCCCTTGCTGTTCCTTGTGTCCCCCCTGAATCATGTGACACCCCCAAACATTCCCAATCCGGAAGACCTCCCTGGCCAATCATCGACGAGTTTTTCGAGCAAGCAACATTGCTGCCACAAAATTCCCGGCGTCCCGACCTCCATGCCACGCCATCGATTATCCTCTTACGGTAATCATCAAGATGTCCGCCAACAGTGGGCAATCGTCCCCATACATGTCGCCTCATGGACAAACAAATAGTCTTTCTGCCAGGGACTCTTCGACTCCCGCCGCGGCTCCTGCTTCAACCCCTTCCACGACGGCGCGGCCTCAGCAAAGAAGGAACGTATGGCTGCCAACTTTGACACCCACGGCATTGGCGACGAGATATCCTCAAAAAGCTTTGGATCCCAAACAGTTACAGCCTTCAGCTCCTCCTCAGAACCAAAACCATCCTTCCACAGCCTCGGCTACGCCTTCTCAGAGACCTTTACATACTCCTTCGACCGCCCAAAATTCTCCAAGGCTCCCTTCCACACAACCTTCGAACCAAGCCCCAGTACCTCCGCCGATACCTCATGCCACTCGGCCTAAAATACACAATGCACAAGTGCAACTGGTTCCAAGTTCTCTGTATCCACCACAATCTACTCCGCAACCTCAAGCGGCTCAACCTGCGCCTGCCCCAATCCCTCATTATCCGCAAGGATTGCCGAATGCAACAGTTCAGCAGCGGATATATACGCAACCGAACCCTCCACAGGGACAGGCACCCTCCCTCGCTCCCCCGCGTCCTTCGGGAACTGGTGCCGTTTTCGAGGTCGGAATGATATATCCATCAATGGAGGAAGCCCGTGAAGCTCTGCTTTGCCATACAATTGCCATGCACGAATCTTACCGGGTGTATAAATCGGACGCAAGACGGTATATGACCCGTTGTCGCAGCCGGGACTGCAATTACATGGTTCGAATCGGCTGGAGAAAGAGGCGATGCGAGGCAGTGGTGTCCATGTATAGGCCGCATACGTGCAGTCCGGACACGCATGATAATTGGCGTCCAGCAGCATCGGTCAACTATCTCGTACCGACTTACCAGTCTCTCTTCGAAGCAAGTTCAAGACCGACCGCTGCCCAGATCCAGGAGATTGAGCGGCGCAAGGGCAACCAGATCCAATACCACCAAGGATATCGGACGCTGAAAGCAATTGAGCGCAATCTGTACGGAGACGCAGCTGAATCCTTCAAAAAGCTACCCGCCTTCTTGTCAAGGCTTGCCAAGGTCGACCATGCCGGATACTGGAAAATGGAGACGAAGAACGATATCTTCCATCGCTGTTTTATCGCGCCGGCCGCCACGTTGAACGCTTATACTCACTGCCGTCGATTTTTGACCATTGACCGCGCGCCGTGGAAGACAAAATTGGACTTTTCTCTTCTTGTTGCTGCGACATTGGATGCGAACAACCAGATTCTGCCACTGGCGTGGGCTGTTGTTCCCGATGAGAAGGTGGAATCATGGGCTTTCTTCCTGCGTCATATGCGCCTGGCTTTTCCGAAAATTGATAGTCCGCATACTGCGCTGTTGCTTAACCCTCGGCTGGGGATTGACAATGCCGTCACCCAAGAACTACCTGCTGTAGCCATGATCTATTGCTGCGAATATCTATCTCAAACTCTGATGGAAAAGTTTCACCCCGAGGAGGAAGTCCGCAAGCAATTCTGGAAAGCTGCGCGAGCGGAATCGGAACCTATATTCGCGCAGGCGATGGCTCAAATCAAACACCTGCGGGCGAAACAGTGGATCGAGTCGATACCACGACAACGATGGGCCAAGCACGCCTTGCCCGTTCCTCGGTATGAGCAACTGACCATGACCACCATGGAAACTCTGAACTTCTTATGGTTGAACACCCGCAACCTGCCCGTTCTGCGCGCATTGTATTCGATCTGGCTCAACATCACTGACCGACTTCATCACTGCCGGGAGATGGAGTTCAAGCGATCAAACACGTTGACCGACTTTGCTCAGGAATGGATTGTGCGGCAAAAGCAGCTCAGTCGCACCTATTCAGCAGTGGCAAGTTCGCAGGAGCAGTTCACCGTGTTCAACAAAGCCGTGGGCTACGTGGTAGATCTGAATGCTCGGACATGCAGCTGCCTCGACTGGCAGGATCTCCAATTACCATGCCGACACGCCCTCGCTGCCATTGCTACCACTTCACGCCCCATCAATGACTTCGTCCCCCCGGCGTATCATATCAGCACATACAAACAGATCTACAGCGGCATTACGATGCCGCTCGAACTGCGAGACCTCGACGACTTTGACCAGTGCAGCGCCCCAGCCACGAAACGTCGCGGAAGACCATCAATGAATCCACCCAAACAAACCCGGAAGCATGAAGGCGTCCAACCCCACTGCTCCATCTGCCGGCAGCCCGGACATTCCGGCCAAAGCGACATCTGTCCGACCAACCTCAAGGACCGGAACATTGTCATCCAAACTCTACCCGATGGCATCCGGACATTCGAACACAAACCAGGCCCACCTCCTCCAAAACCCCGATACCCAGCGGTTGCTGTCGTCGTGCCAGCCAAGCCCACGACCACGGACACTACCACATCGACCCCAGACGAGCCGAACGCGTCGCAGCCCCGCAGGAACCGAAGCAGCAGCAGTAGCACCAGCAGTGACGACAACGATGACGACGATACTCCCAGCGATGAAGGCAACGATGCGGGTTATGACGGGGAGTTACTGGATCCAGCTTTCAGGGAAGTCCCTCCCTTGCCCGATTGGGCTCGATCACCCGGGCAGCTGGACTCACCGATGGTGAGCGAGCCAACGGCTCCAAGACCTTCATTGAATTTTGGACCTGCACCTTCCGAGGTTGGACGCCGGCTGGAATGGGCTTTGGATGCGAAGAAGAGACTCGATGCCGAGAAGGAGTATCTGTCGCATGAGGAGCTGAGTCGTCTGCAGGGGGAGATTCTCGATGGACTTTTTACAGCGGCTATCTAGCCTCAGGGACGTGTTATAATACTTAACTCATTATTCGATATATGTTTGCGATGACCACATCTCATACAAAGCCAAGACCGATAATCATTTTGGCACTCTCTCCCCATCTTCAGAGCCATCGACTTAGATGGCATTTCATTATTCTTTCATGAGTCTAGCATATCCTGAAACTAGGATAACTAGTAAAAGCATAAAACGCCATAATTAGTATATCCATCAGAAAGCAGTCATGAATACCCATATGTATCGCCAAGTAGTCGCTCAAATGTGGGATATCTAAAACCGTAAATACAACTACCCATAACACGATCCCGAAATCGCTAAAGAAAACATCATGGTACGTAGGAAAAAATGTCTAGAAACTGAAAAGCCCACTCCGGCGCTTTCCAAATGGGTATACAACCAGCGCCGCAATGAACAGTCCCACACTGATGCCGATCGCCACCTGGATCATACCGAAACCTAAGCTAGCGATAGACGTGTCCTGGCTGCTCGTGTCGGTGCTATTACCACCCTTCTGCAGATTCTCCCGGACCTGATTCGCATATTCGATACCGGCGATCAAAGAGCCCGAGGAGGCCAGCCCCGACGGCACGAGGACGAAGATACCAGGTAGAATGGCGGTGGCTGCATGGCCGTGCCATAAGCGGCTATAGAGATTGCCCAGGATGCCGATGGTGAAGGCGCCGACGGTATTGGCGACTTCGGAGCGGGAGCCGAGCTTGGTTGTGCTGAAGTAGTTGGTTATGTAGCCGCAGGTTGCGATGAAGATCATGACGGGGACCTGTTTCCATTTGGCTTGGTTGATGACGGCGAGGCAGATGACGAAGATGGGGACGAAGATGAAGTGTTGGGTGTACTTGCTGCCGTAGATGGAGAGGTCGCGACAGGAGGTTTCGGAGGTGGCGTTGCCGTCGATGAGGCCGTAGACGGTGGTTCCGACTGTGATGCCATAGCCGAGGAAGAGGGAGTAGATTATGGCGAAGACCATGCGGATGGAACCTGCAATCATCTGGTGGGATTGGAGTTCAAGACTGCTGCACAGGACCATGAAACCAGGGAGAATCAGGGCGATAGAAGACTGTGCCAGAGCAGAGAAGCAGAAGAGGTATTGTTGTTGGCCATCCACGGTTATACGGATAGTGCCGAACGCCCGT